TCCTAAAATTTATAATTTACAAATACACAAAATTATTAAATATTACATTGAAATCAAGGAATTATAAAAAAATCATTGAAAAAAATTCAAACTTTGGAGGGGTAATTTGCAATGTACTAAACTTTAAGGGTATTTTTTTGTAAATTTAAAATTTAATAGATTTTTAATTAGTTATATTCTTTTCAAAAAAGTTATGGGTAATATTTACCATGAAAAGTTTTTCCTAAACCTATACTTTTAAAAGGTGTATGATAATTTTTGCAAAATTTTAATTTTTTTCGGGTTGTTAGTAATTTTATATTTTCATTTTAGTATCTATAGGTTAGAAATTCTCATGATGTTTTTTATAAATTATGAATTTTAAGGTATTTTTGCAATTTTTTAAACTTATAGGTCGTTTCTATATATTGTAAATTGTTTATAGACTATTTATAATTCATATACTTTCAATTTACTAATGAATTTAAAAATTTTAGGGTGTTTTTGTAAATTTTTAATTTTAATATTTTTTGTAGGTTTTGAAACTTTAAGGGCGTTTTCTATAAATTATAAATTATGTAGGGGATATTTATAATTTCTATATTTTTAATGTTCTATTAGGTTAGAAATTATCAGGAATTTTATAAATTTTATAAATTTTATAATTTTGAGGGTTTTATTTTACAATTTGTAAAAAAATCAGATTGTGTATTATAATTTCCATAAATTTTTGGGGGCTGTTTGTGTTATTTGTAGGTTTTTAGTATGTTTAGAGGTTTAAAATTTTCTAGGTGTTTATTATAAATTTTGTATTTTTAAGGGTGTTTTTATAATTTTTAAAACTTACAAGATATTTTCTACAAAGTAAAAAAACTTTTAGTTTCTAGTTAGCATATGTTTTTCAGATTTCTCACTGAATTGAGATAAGTACAATTTATAATTTTCAAGATGCTTTAACAAAATTTTGAATTTATAAGGGCGTTTTTACAATTTAAAAAACTTGAAGAATATTTTTTACAAAGTCCAAAATTTTTTAGGTGTTGGCTAGCATATGTTTTTTAGATTTCTCTACGAATTGAAATAAGTAAATAATTTGAATTATATAAAACATATTTATTTTATCCAATAACATGTTAAGTCTCATTATGAATAGAATAAATCATTTGGTTACCAATTCAAAAGAAGATAGGATAATTAGAATAGATTAGAATAATAATGTAATATTAAAAAAAACTAAGAGTAATATTAACCATAGAAAGATTTCCTCGAACTCGTACTTTTAAAGGGAGTATGATGTGCTTTTGATTCGACAACATAGAAAGGTTTGGGATAAATAAGCGCAACAGATTACAACTCCGTCGTTAATATAAAAGTTCGATGGGTGGAACCGTGGAAGACAGCCTAGGTTGCGTAAGTGCAACTTAGACGGAACTTCGACGAATTTAATGCGTTAATTTTAAAGGAATAGATTTTTACAGCGTGGACAATTTGGCATGATCTTAAATTTGCGTGGATATAGGGATAGTTACTACTACAAATGATTGTAGATTCTCAGCCAACGAGTTGTTGCCTACGGAGAAAAACTGTAAGCGTCAAATTATGTTATTTGTAAAAGGCAAAGAGTGAAATAATAATAAATAGACGCTCGAAAAATACCGTCACCGTCAAGCAGCCAGGACACGGTCTAGCATGGGAAACAATCGACTCATATGATCTCTGGCGCTTTTCTCGTCATCAATTAGGGGTTGTTAGGATGTTTTTGGTAATTAAGAGTAGTCACGACAACATTTGGAATTGGATCGTCTATCTGCGCCTGGAAAAATGCCTTAATGACCAAAAATATGGGACCAATAAAGAAGACATGTAAGGTGTCCCCTCTCTATTGTATAATGAGTTAGACATGCCAGCTCATTATGCAATAGAAGGGGAACATCTCACATGTCCCGTCCAATGGTCCCATATTTTAGGTCCCTGTAACGGAGCTCCTCCGCTTGACAAGCACATGTTTTCCATCTCAATTCCTTTCTCTTTGTTAGGGAGATGGTTTTGAGTGCCACCTCAGCAAAATGTGCTTGTTTTTTATGAACCTAACGAGGTAAAGAAGGTAAAGTTGACATTTGACATTGCAAAAGCTCTGCTCTGCCCTATCTCATCTCATATACGTTGAAACCAAATAACCCCTTAACTGCACGGCCTATCGTGTCACGTTTTAAAGTAAACGCTTTTATACAAGTATTTTACAATCATATAAGAACGTTATATTGTTTTACTAAAAATAAAATTTTCAATAATCAAAATTATATTCCGACTCCAAATTTTTTTTTTCACAATCTAGTGTTTTCTTACATTGCGCTTTTCATTTCTATTTATCAATGTATCTATTAGAATATACAACTATAATCATTGATACTTACCATAACTTTGGAGTTTGGTGAAATGGTTAGGGTGGCTCAATTTACGATGCTATTAAAGCAAAACATGGTCGAACATTGCTGACCACGATTTTAATGTAGATTTTTAAAAATTATTACCCCTGCGAGGGTTCAACATTTTAGCCTATAGAAAAGGGTGCCCAACCCGTAAGGGCATGTTAAAATATAAAACTATAATATTCGATTCTCGTCATAACCGTTATACCCGACATCATATAAGAATAAATACATGGTCAATGAGTTATGTTTTTATATTTAGCTTCTCAGATTCTTATACATTTGTGAAAGAACAACCAATTAAATGTTATTTTTGGATAGCTATATTGAGCTAACATCGTCTGGACTAGGGTTGTCCATTCGGGCCAGCCCGGGCCGGGCAAAACCGGAGCCCGGGCCCAGGCGGGTCGGGCCCAGGGCCGGCCCGGTTTTTTTATTATTTAACATTTTTTATTTTTTTTTTAATTTTGAATAATACAATTCCAAAAATACACACATTTTTGATAAAATTTTTTTATATTATTAATCAATTGTAATTATGTAATTTATAAATATAAAAAATTATAGAAATTAAAATAATTGTAAAATTTGTAGAAACAAACAAAATTAAAAATAATTATAGAATTTAAAGGCCAAATCAAAGACCTCTAAATATATATGTTGTGGCTAGGATATTGAACATAATCTACTTCTCAACTCCTATTTTTACACTAGATAAGTAGCACAAAATATTCATGGTCAATTCAATATATATATATATATATATTAGTATATTATTATATCATATATATAGAGCAACACACACACCTTACAGTTATGTATACAAAAAAATTGTAAATACTCTATAGTAGATTACATAAACAATTGTATTATACTAAACGATAATATATATATATTATATTATATTATATATATATAATATATATATATATATATTATAGATATATACTATGTTATAATAATATATATATATATTATATATAGAGAGCAAGCTTGCCTACAACTTAGTTGATGTGCACTCAAGTTGTAGGCCACATTATTTAGATGATCAAAACCCTTTAATATAATACTGAGATCCTAGGCATATGAGTGGTTAAAACTTTAATGTGATCACATATTCCCTATCCACGTTAGTTGACCAAGTTTTAGCACACACACACACACACACACACCACACACACACACATATATATATATATTATTATATATATATATATATTATATATATAATATATATTATATATGAGAAAGAATGGGTATACTTGTACCAGGATCATGGTAGTGATGTGGACACATCTTGTCCATACATCACACCTTGAAGATGGGTCTCAGTCACAACTCAAGGTTGTGATGTAGTGGACAGAATGTGTCATCACAGTCACTACCAAGTGATCCGTTGCCCAGTATACCCATATTCAAGCTCTTATATATATATATAACTTATTATATATATATATATTATATATATATATATATATATATTATATATATAATATATATATATTATTATTAGCACCCACCATATCAGATATTATATTGATATAATAGTTACATGTATTTATAATTATTATAATATTAGAGGCATATTATACATATATATTTATATAAGAGAGTTATATTATATTATTATATATATATGTATATTAATATATATATTATATATATTATATATTAATTATTAATATATTTATTATTATATATAATATATATATTATAGCGCATATGGGTATGCTGGCTACAGCTCACAAAAGTTGATGCTTGGTAGTGATTGTCACATCCACTCCACTCATTCAAAATATGGGACCACTTCACAAATGGGTAGTGAGTGTGATGAGGATGTGAACAGTCGCACTTACAAGCACAAATTTTTGTGCTTGTCAAGCATACCCATTTTTCTCTATATATATGTATATTACTTATATATTAATATATATATATAATATATCATATATATATATATATATATGAAAGTAAAATAAAATAAAATAAAATAAATTCTATTCCGGGCTGGGCGCCGATGACCGGACCCGGGTCTGGCCCGGGTTTCCTATCAAGCCCGGGCCGGTGAGCTTTTTGGACAGCCCTAGTATGGACTAATTCAAAAGTGGTAGATAATTATAAAGATAGAAATTTGATAACACAGTTTAGAAATAACAGCCTTCTCTCTCTACGACTCTTCATTCCGAAATCAAATGCAAAGGCATTAATTCCGCATCAGAAAAAAATAAATCCGACAATATCATTTTGTTGCTTTCAGTTTTTACCGCATCGAAGCACACCACCATGGTCAATTATTAGTTTTTAATCACGTGTAGAAAAAAATGCTTATCCAACACAGCAGACGATAACCGTTAGTCTCAGGCGCCNCAAACAGCGCCCAGATCACGAAGTCATTAAGTCCTCACCGCGCGATCACAGCCGTCCAACTCACAGTCCCCCGATGTCATGTCGGCATCTCGACCACAGCGAGGATCAGAGTCATGCCACGTGCCGGTCGCCCCATCGCCGTGGGTCCCAATGAACTGGCGCTCATTAATTGGATGGATCCTGATTAGAACAAGCGTAAGGATCCGATAATGGCGTTGCGGTAATTTCGGGGACTCACATCGCTTCGTATGTATGTACGCCTCACACCGACGCCTCGGCCTCTTCCGGTTGACTATAACGTTGGGGGATTTTAGGGCTCCTTTTCTTCCATTTTTTTTTTATTTTGGTCGAATTTCTCCTACTGAGATATTTATTTATTTATTTTCGCTTCAGATCCCCTAATTTCCATCGCAGATCTCGATTTTGAGAAAATAAAAGCCGAGCCCTGCACATTTTCCCCCAGATTAATCTGCGCCCATTTTTTTTTGTTGTGAATTGTAGGCTATTGTGTTTGTTTATGTGAGGAAAAGCTGTTGATTTTAGGGTTCATTTGTTTGATTAAGGTTTGAACCTGCAAATAAAGGGAGGATTGTTCGTTTCCTCATTGGGTTTTGAGGTCGAATCGTTTGATTTTTTCTGTTGGCTGGCTGCTAAAAGATTTCAAATTCTTTGTGGATATCGAGCTTTGCCTTGCGGCTGCATTGATCTTAATCGAAGGCATTTCCCTCTATTTTGCCGTAAACTTGGGGTAAAAATAGAGAACTAGGGTTTTCTATGAATGGGGGTTTGGGGTTTGGAAGATGTGCAGAATAGAGAGAGAGGATTGCTTGGATCCAGAATACTGTGACGAGAATCATTATCAGCACCAAAATCATCACCATCATCATCATATGGGCCTGAACAGCGATCTGAGGGCTTCAGAGAAGGGGAAGGGATCGATGGTATCGAGATCGAGGATGAAGCTTTGGATGATTAGGGGGACGACCACGATTCTGTTGTGGACTTGTGTTATGCAGTTGACGGCAATGGGGGAGCTCTGGGGGCCGAGAGTACTGAAAGGGTGGCCTTCTTGCTTCACCCCCTCGGATTCTCCGCTGCCCTTGAAACCCCCCTCCTCTCGGCCCGTGAAAACATCCTCGTCGGCGCCCGCGAAGGCCTCGTCGGCGTTGCCTCTCCCCGTAAATCCCTCTTTATCCTCGTCGTCTTCGGTCTCTTCGGTCGTGGAGAGGATTCCTCTTCCGCCCAAAAGTGAGTTTCTCTTCCTCCTCTTGTTACCGATGGGTGGTGTTTTGTTGGACGCTATGGTATGCAGTTGATAATTCTGGAGATCTAGGTTCAACTGTTACAGGGAATTCGGTTTGGGAATTTGAGATATCTGATATGCAAAATTTTATCATTTGTGGTTATAGGGTGTTTTGTGCATCGACTTACATGGGTGCCTAGTTTTATTGAGTCGGCTCATTTATTAATGTTGGGGAAGAACTTCATCAGAATTATATTCTTCTCTTCTGTTCTGTTTAGCGTTTGTGAATTGGGTTTTAATCAATCACTATGAATTTCAGTTCCTAATGTAAACTTGAAATTCCCCTATTTTCTACATAGAGTGCATTGTTTATCTCATTTGTTGCATCAATCCTTTTCTATAGGTACACTTTTTTGTCTTGTCTTTCACATTTTGCGAATTTTCCTATCTGCTCATCTTTGGATTGCCAAATTTCTCTGCTTAATTTAGCTTCTCTCTTATGTGCGGAATTTCTGATCTTAGTCATCGTATATCAAACAAATCATTTGTTTATCACAGGAACTCTGCCAAATTGGAGAAAATTAGGTTAGACAGGATTATATACTATTTTGATTTGTTTCGACATGTCGATGAAAAAAAATGCTCTATATCTCTGCACATGTGATTTCTTCTTATGGACTAACTAAGAGGTGATGGAGAGATATTTGACAACTCCTCTTTGGATATCTTTCTTCATGTGACTTATCCAAATAGAACTATTCTCTTAACTCGTTTGTTTCCTTTGAAATTTTGCTCATTTGTGTTCATATCCTTAAGTAAGCAAAATTTTCTATTTTGATCACTAATTGCAAGAAAATTTTAATTTATAGCAGTTGGAGCATTGTCCTGGTATATCTTGTTAGAAATAAATTATATTTTCCTTTCCAATCAAATAACCGTTGGTCCTATCCAAGAGCAAATCTTCTGATTCAGAAAGTATTATCGAACTGAAACACTGCCAACTTGACTCTTCAATGTTATTGTCTTCTAATATAGCTACTCCACTTTTTTCTAGGAGCACATTGTCTGACTTTCCCTTTCTTTTACAACGTACATGTTTAAGGCATCAATCCTTTTTCTACCCCTCGATCTATTTGTCTAACTAATGTTTAATGTTTTTATAATACTCATGTCACATTTTTTCCCTTTTGGCAATCTACCTAGTAAGATGCAAAGTTTATCCAAACCCTTTACATTTCAATTCATTCCTATAAGTTTCCCCTCAGCGGATCTCTTTAGTTCACTTGGAATTATCTACCATGATTATTTGAAAAATACTAGATCTTACTTTATTGACATATTACTTTCACCGCATGCTAAGAGGTTGCACCAAAATTTGTTCAGTAATCATTCAGGGCAACACTCGACCCCCATACATTTAATTGTTTACTGAAGCTTTTTGGAAGTATAGTTACATTTTGTAAATACTGCTTCTCAGCTTTATCTGTTTCATCTGATTTGTGGTTTCTCTTTTCTTTTTCTAGGAATATACAAGAATAATGGTTATCTAATGGTGTCATGCAATGGAGGACTTAATCAAATGCGAGCAGCTGTAAGTTTATAATAATGTTTTTGTATTTATTTTTTATATGTATATCTAACAAAGTACCAACTTTATTCTTCTTATGTTGGAGCTTATCTTTACAGATATGTGATATGGTTGCTATTGCGAGATATTTGAATGTGACCCTGATTGTACCAGAGTTGGACAAGACCTCTTTTTGGAATGATCCTAGGTATGTTTTTTATTTTTATATTTATGAATATCAATTACGATTGATCCCAGGAGAGTTGTTGACCAATCAAGCTCATTCTTCAACATGTTAATTACTAAAGTGAACTTTTTTGGGGCGTTTTGCAGTGAGTTTCAAGATATATTTGATGTCGATCATTTTATCATGTCATTAAGAGATGAGGTTCGAATACTAAAAGAACTTCCCCCAAGGTTAAAGAGAAGGGTAGAGCTGGGGATGTATTACTCCATGCCCCCTGTTAGTTGGTCTGACATCTCTTACTACCAACGCCAGGTCAATTTTCATCAGCATATTTCGATCATAGACAGCGTACACAATGCAGTTTGATGAGATACTTAAATGACCTTTTCTGTTTTGCATGCAGATTCTACCTTTAATTCAGAAGTTCAAGGTAGTTCATTTGAATAAAACTGATGCTCGACTGGCAAATAATGGCCTGCCATTGGAGATCCAAAAACTACGGTGCCGAGTAAATTTTGCTGCCCTAAGATTTACTTCTCAGATTGAAGAATTGGGTAGCAGAGTGATAAACTTGCTGCGCCAAAATGGCCCTTTTCTTGTTCTCCACCTCCGATATGAAATGGACATGCTGGCTTTCTCTGGCTGCACACAAGGTTGCACCAACGAGGAGGCAGAGGAATTGACTAGAATGAGGTAACATCCTTTTATCGTTAGCTTCCTTTTTATTGAACAACTGATTTTTTCCTTGCTTATCAGTTCATTGCAACTAATACAATTCGGTGTATAGGTATGCATATCCTTGGTGGAAAGAAAAAGTTATCAATTCTGACATAAAAAGGAAGGATGGCCTCTGTCCTTTGACGCCTGAAGAGACTGCTCTTGTACTTAAGGCACTCGATATTGATCGTAGTATCACCATATATATTGCTGCTGGGGAAATTTATGGAGGAGCAAGGCGAATGGCTAGTCTTACCTCAGCTTATCCTAATGTGGTTAGTGTTTTCTTGTGCAATAGGTGTTTTACTTTGATCTTGGTTCTTGGGCTTTCATATCATAGTTAACATTGTCCTCTGTGTAGGTGAGAAAGGAAACACTTCTTGGACCATCAGATCTTAGATTTTTCCAAAACCACTCATCGCAAATGGCAGCGCTAGATTATTTGGTCTCGCTAGAGAGTGATATCTTTGTGCCTACATATGATGGTAACATGGCCAAAGTGGTCGAAGGGCATCGCAGGTAGTGCCCTCACTCATCTTTTATTGACGTATATTTGTTATGATCACACTTTTCTCCTTTTGTCATGCTTTCTGATTAACATCACGCAATGTGTCAAACCCGAAGGTCAAAATCTGTTGCAGCATTATAGTTCCTTCTAGATTGATGGCATTGACCTTATGCATAGTATACTGCATTAGTATGATCTGATTTGGGTCTCATGTTTTCCTAATAGGGTTAATTGCGTATAGACCCCCTATACTATCACCAATTTGCAGTAATATCCCCCTGTACTTCTGTTGTTGCAGATAGATCCCCTGCATTTTCAACTTCGTTAGTCTTCCTACTTTAATTGGTTATATTATTATGTGTAATAATCATTGTGCAAGCTTATAGTAAGTAATTCAGTTTATGAAGCCCAATCTTAATGTGAAATTAACTGAGTTTGGAAACCATGGCTTCTATCATCAACAATAGAAGACGGTCCTTCCACAATTTGGTGATAGTGTACATGAGGTTATCTGCAAGTAACCCTTCTAAATGTATATATATACACGTCCTTGCAAGTTTGTTCAAGAAGTACCATTACTCAAGACAACAGACATAGAGACTGATTGCAATTGTACAGTGAGGCTAATTATTTTCCCTATATTTATTACTTCAATGTTTCAGATACTTGGGCTTCAGGAAGACGTTCCTATTGGATCGGAAACTTTTAGTTGAGCTTGTAGACAAGTACGCCAGTGGATCATTAGGTTGGGATGAGTTCTCTTCAGCAGTGAAGGCAGCCCATTCAAATCGAATGGGAAAGCCTTCAACGAGAGCTATAATACCCGACAGGCCCAAGGAAGAAGATTACTTCTACTCTAATCCCCAGGAGTGCCTAGTGTCACACGGTGATGATGATGATGAACCACGGACTTCTTCAACTGAGTCTCTCTAGTTTGCCTGATGATGAAGATGATTTGAAAAGGTTCAACACATCGGAGGTGGCTGGTATTTATACGTAGCTGTGATGATATATAACGAAGGGCTTTATTTTTATATTTTTTTTTCAATAAAGATTTCATTCTTGTATAGAGGGGTGAGGGTGTGAAGAGAGAGAGAGAGAGGAGGTCTTTTTGCCAGCTGCTGCGTAATGTACAATAAATACAGATTGAAAACAAGAGGATGGGGGGAGAGAGAAGGGAGGGAGAGAAACAATCACTTTTGGTTATCATATCCTTCAGTTGTGGGAATTTTGTGGTAGGTTATTTTTCCAGTTCGTCAGCTAATTCTTTTTGTCATTTGAGACCTCTGTATCTTTCTTCTTTGTCATTCTTTGTTCCAGATTTTGTTTGTATGAATTTTTACATAATTCTATGATGTCATTAATCATTGTGGACTACTACTTGTTCACTCACATCTATATCAATATATCACAATCTAAGTAGCTTGGGCAGGCTCATATTTAAGGTGAGTGAATTAAGTGTTCATAATTCAGGTGTTAGTAGTTTCTCTGACATCTATGTACTACATCCTAAGCTATAGAAAAACCGTATATATGATATAATATATATATATATAATATTATCATTGGCAAGGATCTGCTAGGCAACATGACGTGGATAGCTTGGGCAGGCTTATATATCGGTTTTTTTATAGAGTGTTCATGGGCACTCTATAAGAGAGGAGCTATAGAAAAACCGTATATATATATAATATATGATATAATAATATATATATATATATATATATATATATATATATATATATATATATATATATCATTTTCAGTAATTCTTAATGTCAACTTAAGTGGATGGTCATCCCAAAGATTTCTATCCACTCATGTTGCCTAGGGATCCTTGCATGATATAATATATATATTATATAACTAATATTATATATATATATATATAGAGAGAGAGAGAAGAGAGAGAGAGAGAGAAAGTGAGAACCTTGGTACCAAGTTGCTTGTGGTATAATCTTGCTCATACATCACACCTCAAAGAAGAGCTCAACCCACCCTTCACCAACTCATATAGATGTAGGGACAATATTATGTCACATCACTATCAGTTGCTTGGAGTAACTTTGGTACCAAGTTTTTATTTTTGCTCATATATATATATATATTATATATATATATATATATATATATTATATATAATATATATATATATATATATATATATATAATGCGCTTGGTAAGCGGCAATTACAAATTTTGTGCTTGCTAGTGAGGTGACACAATCCCCTCCACTCTTAAATGGGGGATCATATTCATATGAGTTAAGGAGTGCATGAGGATATATAACCATTTGAATGAGTGGAGGAGATTATGACACCTCATTACCAAACACAAATTTATGTGCTTGGTACCAAGCACACCAAGCACAAAAAAATTTATATTCCATCCACCTTCACATAGTTTTAGACGAGCGCACGCACGATGCTTGTTGATTACACACACGCGTTAATAAAAATTGGATAGGGATGATAGGGTTGGCGATTCAATCTAGATATTGGGATCCTTGACCCGGCTCTTCCTTTGAGAGGAGACCTTGCTTCATGTCAAATCCTAAAATTGTTTGTTTAATCAAAATAATAATTGAATCAAAGAGAGAGAGAATCGAAGCTAAGGATCCGATTGGTTGCTGAAAAGAAGAGTTGAAATGAGCAGAAATCATGCTAAAACTGACAAAAACTTTCAGTTTTGACAGACTTTCTTGTAAAAACGCCCCAAAAATAACGTTTTTGTAAGAAAGTCTGTCAAACTTGACAGTTTTAACAGGCTTTCCCAAGCCCTCTTCAGCAACCAAACGGGCCCTAAGCAATCCATCCTACGAGCAGTATCTTAAAAGCAAGCTCGATGATGCTTCAACAAAACTTGGTCAACGAAGATTGCTCCTCGTGAAGTGTGGACACTAAGCAGTAGGGAGTGGTATCAAAATTATGCCACGGCTACATAAATATTTGGATGAGCGTTGAAATCATTGAATTCATTTTTCTATAATTAGGGAAGTTCTCCTCACACTCATCTTGCGTCGCGAATTGTGCTCTCGTGGATTCAAAGGAAGACTTAAATTGCACATGATGTATTTGATCACAAGGTGACATATTACATCCACCAATCATTCGAAGTGTTATTTCATCGTAACTGTAATTGTAATAGAGTATCGGCTAATTGTGTAATTGTTGTCATACATACTTGTAAGGGAAATTTTTAAAAATAATTAGCAAAATAGACAATTTTACTAATTATTTAGCAAAATAGATCTCTTTTTGACCAACAAGTCAAAAAAAGGTTGATTTTAAAAAATAAGATGCTGAAAACATACGAGACTAGTAGTTTCATATATTTTCAGTGCACTAATCGAGGATTAGTGTTCACAGAAAACATACGGGACTACTAGTCTCGTATGTTTTCAGCATCCTACTTTTTAAAATCGATCTCTTTTTTGCCAACATGCCAAAAAGATATCTATTTTGCTAAATAATTAGCAAATTGGTTTATTTTGCTAATTATTTAGCAAAATGGTCTTTTTTAAAAAATTCCCCTACTAGTAATTGTAGCAGTCTGATTTAGTTTTAAAATCTTTGTACTTTTCAACCGCATTTTTCTCCTTTGCAATTGTCCTAATTATTTATCAATTGCATTGAAAAAAGGGTAAATTACAGTAAACCCTAAAGTACTATCGACGTTTTGCAGTATACCCCCAATAACTTTCAAAATCACACAAAACCCCCATAACTTTTGCGTTTTACGAAACCCCCCAATAAGTTTTTACATTTTGCAGATAACACCCCGTAAATAGGAAAAACACCGACATAAAAAGACATTTTGAAAGCTACTAAGGGTGTAGTGTAATTTACCAAACGTACACTAAAAGTTATTTGGGGTTTAATGCGGCTTTCGAAGCTATTGGAGAATTACCACAAACCGCTGAAAGTCCTTGAGAGTTTGGTGTAATTTAACTAACTAAAAATATCAGAGTTGCATACAACTACAGCTACGATTCATGCATTTTCAAAGAAAGAAAACCCCACTCATCAGCACCCAGCGAAAGGGCCCGAGTTGGGAAATACTCGAGAGTTCTGAGCTTTTAGAAGTGAGACCCATCATAGACTTGAATGGCCTAGTTGAGAGAATTGGGCACCAAGTGGGACTCCTCCAACCATTAGTAAATTAGAATTATGCAGGTGACTTGTACGGAACATAAAGTGTCCCCTGGGGAAGTGCAGTTGCGGATCCAAGGCGGCTCACTGTCTCCTCTATAAAGGATGACTGACACGTGTGATGTGTATGTTTTCAAGGTAGGGGGATGAGCTGTGAATTGAGTACGTACGAAGAGGAAAGTACGGAGGACAAATATCATAAAACCCCCCTTAATTAAGCAAACCCTTTTACCATTCAAAAACTATCTGAAAAATCCCCTTAAGCGTAGGAATTGTCACAAAAGTCTCATTTAACTTTAACATTTTATAAGAAAATCTTCTTTAACTTTGAGATTTTATCAGAAATTCTCTCAACCTTAGGGGGATTTTCTAATAAAATCTCAAAGTTAAAAGGATTTTTCGAAAACCACTGAAGTTAAGGCTCCTCCTGTTGGGAATTAACAAGAGGTTATCAACTCAGCTTTTATCATGCCACATCATATCCCACTTTGCTCAAATAGCCCATAAGTGCATTATTTCTGTGTACTACTTTGGCACCACTACTCATAAATAAAGTAGTGGCGGATTCAGTTTGAAAATTGTAACAATGACTCGTCATGACCCCACTCTTTTGTGAGTAGTAGTGCAAAATAGTAAAAAAAAAATTAGTACACTTATCATTACTCCAATAATAATGGCAAATTGTAGTTTTTGTTCACAATGACAAAGTTTATTTGCATCAACATATAACTGCTAATTTTATTATTATTTGGATAATGATAATTTAAAATTCTTTATCTTGAAATTGATATATTTATTCTTCTATTACCAAAACGGTTCAGAATTATAGTTTAGTTATTATTAACCTTATTATTTAAGGAGAAAATAGAAGAATCGATTAGTCATTTTACGATATTTGTTTCATAGAGATACGATAAAATTTTGTTTTCACTGCAAATATTTAATATAATTCTACTTCTTTATTCTCAATTGGAAAATGCAGTGAATGAATAAAGTAAAAATAAAAATGCTCACAAAGAATACTGGAATTAATGTTTAACCTGCTAAATCTATTTTCTACTTCAGTTTGAGTTATTTCTTTGAACAGTGGTAACCTGAAACATGATTCAATGTTTAAACAAATTCATACAAGACAATTTCAAGTCATCCCCCATCAGTTTCATTGTTGTCAGTGCTCTATGAAAATTACAGTAAGGTCAAAAAAAGTATTACATAGATTTGCTTTTTAAAAAAAGAGAATTATATAGATATACCTATTTTGAGATTGTCATTCTTCATGTGGGACATTAATGTTTATACGATATCATACGCTACATTATTTAAGTTGTGGAAACTGGAAAGTACTCAGGCTAATGGGCCAAGTTGCCTTTATCAATTTCATTGCAATCATCACAAGGCCTGAGTTTTCTTTCTTTTATTTATTTATTTATTTATTTATATTTAATCTAAAATATATCTTCAGGGTTGAGCAAGGACTCTAACTAATAAACGCAAACTCTCTACTGTCACTTGTTTTGCTTAATTTATCTTACTTTGACACATTGGGTCTCTAACGCACTTAATTAGCATGAGTGAGCCTCCCACTTACTAATGATGTCAACCTCCAATCTTCGTCTTCAAGCATTGAGTTTTGAAAAAAGTTTTATGCGTTTTAGAGCTTCTGTCTCTTAATAATGGACTAAAATTTGACATTACGTTGAAATATCACAACTTTATTTTGATCGGAAGCTTGAAGAGTAAGGTAAACAAGTCCATTGTGGAGACATGATTTTGGTGTATTTTGACATTTAAGGGGTGTTTGACAATCTGAAAATGAATTTAAAATATATAAGTTACTTTTTTTTTGCAAATAACTTTTACATCCATATCAGCACGCAAGTAAAATACAGTGTTTGTTTAAAAAATTAAATTATTATCAAAGTACAATGTGAAGATGACCTGACAAAATAAGATTAATTAGAAAGTATAATTAAAATTATTTAATTAAATTAGTTACTTTTTGTCACTTTCATGTGACTTCACCACTTTTTTAGGGGAAGTCAAAATTGCATTAAATCATATGTGATTTTTGTCACTTTCATGTGACTTCACCACTTTTTTAGGGGAAGTCAAAATTGCATTAAATCATATGTGACAACTTTCTTGCATCTCACGACTTCACCACTTTTTTAGGGGAAGTCAAAATTGCATTAAATCATATGTGACAACTTTCTTGCATCTCATTTT